CACAAAAGTCCTGAGGTTGGAAAGAACATGGGAATTTGAGGGATAGGATATCAGTGAAGAGGAGAGTACCAAGTGAAGCTGGAGAGGAGAGTAGGAGCTAAAGTACTCAGGGCCTAGAAGGCCATAGAAAGGCTTTTGGATTACATGTAAAGTACAATGGGAAACCATTTAAAGGGTTAAAGCAGGGGAGTGATGTGATTCAATTTTTATTTTAAGAAAAGCTCTCCTGTGCTATGTAGTGAGTGAATATGGTCAGAAGCTGATAGCAGATTTGAGGGGAAATGAGTTAGGAAGTTGTTGAGGAATCTACACCAGGGTAACCTGAATTAGGATTATGGCAGAAGAATGGAGGGCAGTGGATGGATTTGAGATGGGTATGGGGTAATACTGATATGACTTGCTGATTGTTTGGATGTGGGAGATGGTGATAAGGAAGACAGAAGCATCAGTGTGATGCTTGAGTTCCTGGTTTGAGCATTTTGATGGGCACTAATTGAGACTGGGAAGAGCATGAGAAGAGTAAGTTGTGGTAGAGAATCAAGCACTTAACTTGGGCATATTAAATTACAGGTGTCTTGTGCACCATCTAAGAGGAAATATAGAATAGGCAGCTGGCTACAGTCTAATGTTCAGAGAAGACTGGATTGGGGATACAAATTTTAGATTCATCTGACAGGTACTGTTTAAAGCCAAGAGATGGTGAGATCACCTCAAGAGACATTATAAAGACAAGGTGGGGAAGGCCCACAGATCCCAGGATTAAGATATCAGGTAGCAAAAAGATTTGAGAAGGGATTTAGAGAGAAATCCCAGAGAGTGTGAGGGCCGGGATGACCAATGAGACTGAAGATTTCAAGGAGGGAGTAGTCAGCTATAGGAAGTACTACCAACATTTGAATTAAATGGGGAGAACAAAGAATTCTCTCAAGTTCTTGCTGAACTTGGTGAAAGGCATTTCATTAGAGGGTGGAATGGCAATTCATCAATAACTAGGACATTTAGTCAACTAAACATAACATCTTATTCTTCAAGCGTTTTGCATAAATGAGATTGAAGCTAAGTGCTATGAACCTCTAAGTGACTCAAGGAACCAGTTGGGAGACCTCAAGATTGAGTTAATATACATGTGGCTATATAGCTCTCTGGGTCTTTGTTGCTGTAAGAGGGACCAAAGCTTCAATGAACATAAATTTATGGGTGCTTTGACATTTTCCCATTGTCCAAATATCACTATCAACCTCAGGCTGAGGAGATAACTAAACTTTTACTAATTATTTTATTTATTTATTTATTTATTTATTTATTTATTTATTTATTAATTTATTTATGAGAAAGAGTGCACACATGCATAAGCAGAGGAGGGGCACAGAGAGAGGGAGAGAGAGAGAATCTGGAGCAGATTCCCCCCTCAGTGCAGAACCTGACACAGGGCTTGATCTCAGGACCCTGAGATCATGGCCTGAGCTGAAATCAAGAGTCAGACACTTAACTAACTGAGCCATCCAGGCACCCCCAATTTTTATTATTATTTATGAATATGTAGAGCAAACACTTATAATAGTAGGTAATTTGTATGAATACTTAATATGTTCAAGGACCTCTACTATACTTTCCCCAGTTTATTGCTAGTGTTGTTATCAGTTTTCAGGTAAATAAAGGAAGGCTTAGTGAGATTACATAACTTGTTTATAAGTGGCAAAGCCCAGACCTAAGCCATGGTTTTAATCTCTATACTACACTGCTAAATTATCAACTAATAGAAGTCATTTAGGAAAAATGTCTATTCAAGTCCTCTGCCCATTTTTTAATTATGGGGGTTTTTTTTGTTTTTTTTTTTTTTTTTGGTGTTGACTTGTATAAGTTCTTTATATATTTTGGATGTTAACTCCTTATCAGATATATCATTTCAAATATCTTCTCCCTTTCAGTAGGTTGCCTTTTTGTTTTGTTGATGTTTTCCTCTACTGTACTAAAATTTTGTTGACAGTTTCACATCTGTGTTCAAAAGAGATTTGCCAGTAATTTTCTCTTTCTTACAATATCATTGTTGAGTATATTGTAATAATTTTGCTGCCTTAATGATTTACCTGTGTTCTCTTGGTCTATTCTTTGAAATTTTTTTTAAATGAAAGGTCAGTGATAATTCCTGCTTAAATATTTGGTAAAATTTTATGATTTAATTCATATGTACCTGAAGATTATTTGCATGGTAATTTTTTATTGAATATTTAATGACTATAATAGTGTAAAAATTCTTTTATTCTTGTCTATGTGTTAGTAATTGAAATCCCTTTAAGTGACAAAAATGTCTAGAAGATAAAAAAAATTCGTGGTTAAAAATAAAAAAATCAAGATCTGTGATAATTAAATCAATATTTTTGAGTTCATTTATTTGAAATAGAATTAATTCCTTTAACAACTACTAACTGAAATAATAGGATAAGTTTGCAAAGTCATATGAGGATTAAGACTATATCTAGATGAAAGAGTTTAAAAGAAATAAGGCATAAAACCAGCTGTTTGATATTTAGAACCACACACGATTTTAGTGTTGCGATTGCTACTTCTAGCTATTCATCCAGAAATATCTAAAATCTTGAATTAATTTTAAAGTGCTGATCTTAGAGTATTTGGCACATGCAGAATACCAAAGATGATAACTTTAGTTTTTTTCTAGAGTGTGTACTGACAACATTTAGACATTGGTGTGATGGATTCCTTTATATTTGACTCTTGAATAAAATTTAAATGATGGCAAATAAATGATTCAATATTTTTTGCATATTTAGAAGTCTTAGAATAGCTATTCTAATAATACTGCAATTGTTAAATACACTGAAGGAGCCATTATATTTTTACTTACAGTTTATTTTCATGTTATTTCACTATAAAAATTAATTTGAATAATATTTAAGTTTTCCATTTTAGGGATTCTGTTTACTAAATCTTTTACTATAATACCTATAAATTAGTAGTCTATATTTAGAAAAACAAATGGTTATGGATGATAACACATTAATGTTAAATATGATGCCAGTGGTAGGCTCAGGCAGGAATTATATATATCCATTCTTTTCTTTAAACATAAGGAAAGATTGCTTTTCACATGTATGTATAGTAATCACTCCAGTAGCAGTGATTATTCCTCCCAGTAACAACATAGTTATGTTTATAGAAAATGTAACATCAGTTAACACAAAATGTGTAACACTAATGTATAGAAGAGAAAATAGAATTGTGAATAATAAGATTATATTGTAAAAATATAAATCCATTGTAGATGACACCAAAAGAACAGGTGACAAGAACAATAGGTAAATTGGATGACATAAAAGTAAATTTCTTTGTAGCAAAGGACACAATCAAGAGAGTGAAGACATAACCCACAACAAGGAGGAAAATATGGGCAAATCATATGTCTGAAAGGGACTAATATCCAGAATATATAAAGAACTCCTACAATTCAACAATAGCCAGATTATAAAATGGGGAAAGGATTTAATAGGCATTTCTCCAGAGAAGATATACAAATGGAAATAAGCATATGAAAAGACCTTCAACATCACTAATCCTTAGGGAAATGAAAATCAAAAACATAATGAGATACCCTCTCATACCCATTAGGATGGTTGCTATTAAAAAAATAATAATAAGGTTGATGAGGATGGAGAGAATTTGGAACTGTTGTGCATTGTTTGTGGGAATATAAAATGGTGTAGCTGGTATGGCAAACAGTATGTTGGTTCTTAAGAAAATTAAAAATAGAATTACCATATGATCCAGCAATCCCGTTTCTGGGTATGTACCTAAAAGAATTGACAGCAGGGTTTGGACAGATATTTGTACATTCATGTTCATAGTAACATTATTCACATTAGCCAAAAGGAGGAGCAACCCAAGTATACATCAGTGGATGACTGGATAAACAAAACATGGTATATATATACAGTGCAATATTATTCAGCTTTAAAAAAGGAAGGAAATTTTGGGGTCTCCTGGGTGGCTGTCTGTTAGCCACTGGACTCTTGATATCAGCTCAGGTCATGATCTTACTGTTGTGGGATCTCGTCTGCATTGGCTCCATGCTGAGCAGAGCTTGCTTGGGATTCTCTCACTCTCTCTCTCTCTCCCTCCCTCTCTCTCTCTCTCTCTCTCTCAAAATAAATAAATAAACTTAAAAAATTAAAATAAAAAGGAAGGAAATTCTGGCATATGCTTCAACATGAATGAACTTTAAGGATATTACGCTAAATGAAATGAAGTCACAAAAGGATAAATACTGTATGATTCCACTTATATGAGTTACCTAGAGTAATCAAATTCATAGAGTCAGAAAGTAGAGTGGTAGTTGCCAAGGATTGGGGAGGGAGAAATGGGGAGTTAATGTTCAATAGTTATAGAGTCTCAGTTTTGCAAGATGAGAAATTATGGATGATAGTGATGATTACACAATAATATGAAGGTACTTAATTCTACCTAAAAGTATGAAGATTTTAGATTTTATGTTAGGTGTATTTTACCAGGATTTAGAAATATATATATATACATTTATATATATATACATATATATACACACACACATACATATGTGTATGCATTTATGTGTGTGTGTATATATATATGTGTATATATATATATGTCTATATTTCTAAATTGCATACATAAAATCATTTTAAAGTGGTATAGCTTTAAAAAACACATGAAAAGAAGAGAAAATTTAAGTTATAAGAGGATGTGTGGACATTGATAATTAGGAAGTAATCTGAAAATATTTTTGGAACTTTTTCATACACACTAAGGTGTATATTGATAAATTATGTATAACTACATATATAATCATATATCCAATTATATAATTCTATGTAGTGTAAAAATCTATTGTGTTCTCTTTGGTGATGAGGATTTTCTAGAGATAATGATGAAAGGAATTGTAAGCTCAATTCCAGTATTTTGTTTTGTTGCAGACCTGCAGCCACTTGTTCACATGGTTTCGAGGCACAATGAGGCATGCTGGCTCTTGGAAACTTTGGCTCTGGATGGCAATGCTTCTGCTTCCTGCTTCCACTTCCGTGACGGTCAGGGACAAGTCAGGTATCCAGGCCACCTCTTTTGTCCAGTCACCAAATGTTATTTATAGTCTTCAAGTTATTTTTAAAACTCATCGAAGTAAATTGTTGGGGTTAAGGAGGCCATAGATTAAATCTACAAGTACAAAATAAATTCATTCTTTTTTCCCATTGACCTTTAATTTTGCACATTGAGAATTTCTAAAATCACCTCATTTTCCCATATTATATTAGTCTAAATAGCCTTTCCTTCCTTTCATTGATATTTACAAATATAAATATATGTGTGTGATTCTCTGCATGTACTTTTCTTCTTTTACACCTTGTCATAAGTTAGAAGTACATATGTCTATCACTAATTAGGATTAACCAGGGACGTGTCTAATCTTAATTAGGGAAAAGTGAAAACTAGGAGATATAAAAGGAAATGTAGTTTAAGTAAGTTTTATAGTATCTCAGATGAAATGTACAAAAGATGAACAGTTGTTAGAGCACTTAGCACTAAATAGATATTTATTTGCAGTTATTAAATTATCAACTTCACAAATATTTCCAAAGGGCTTGAAGGCAGTTTGAAACATTTACTCTCATCTCTGATTTTTAAAAATAATTACATGCCTAATTTGGAAAACTTTTCTTGAACTTAGAGTATGTATAAACTACTGATTTAGATGTACTTTTAAGTCAAACTAGACACACTAGAGAAGCCATTTGCTAAGCAAAGAGACACTTCAACTCTCCTACGCAAAGGATCACATATAATGTATTCTGACGGTGGTCACATATGATGATGCATTCTGAAACTATGAGTCTTACTGTGCCTACTATTTTGACTATATCTTTAAGAAGTATTGCTAAGGGGTATAAACACGCTCTAGTAGAGACTTCTGAGTTTGAAGCACACATAAAAACAGTCTAAGATATAACAAATCTTAATCTTTTAGTGTTATGTAAGTCTTTGTGATTTTTTAAAAATTTTTTAAATTTATTTTTGAGAGAGAGAGAGAGAGAGAGACTGAGCAGGGGAGGGACAGAGAGAGAGGAAGACACAGAATTGGGAGCAGACTCCAGGCTCTGAGCTGTCAACACAGAGCCTGATGCGGGGCTCAAACTCACAGACTGTGAGATCATTACCTGAGCTGAAGTCGGACGCTTAACTGACGGAGCCACCCAGGCGTCCCAGTCTTTGTGATTTTTATATTAATTCGTCAGGAGGTGCATTTCCTAATAATCCACATGAAAGTTTGAATATTCTGCCACTGTATCAATGATATCCTGAGGCTGTCATGCTTTTTTGGGGGAAAACACTTTCCTTCCTCAGTGAGAAATAAATCAGAAGTGACTCATGGCAAAAGGAAGTCCATAGGGCAAGGGGCGTTCACTCTGATGATGTTTTGACTCTTAATTTCTTTATGTCCTCTCCTTTTTTTAAAAAATTTATATACAAGTTAGTTAGCATATAATTCAATAATGATTTCAGGAGTAGAATCCAGTGACTCATCACCTACATATAACACCCAGTGCTCATCCCAACAAGTGCCCTGCTCAATGCCCCTTGCCCATTTAGCCCATCCCCTCACTCAAGATCCCTCCAGCAACCCTCAGTTTGTTCTCCGTATTTAAGAGTCTCTTATGTTTTGTCCCTCTGCCTATTTTTATATTATTTTTGCTTCCCTCCCTTATGTTCATTTGTTTTGTATCTTAAATTCCACATATGAGTGAAGTCATCTGAAATTTGTCTTTCTGTGACTAATTTTGCTTAACATAGTACACTCTAGTTCTATCCATGTTATTGGTAATGGCAAGATTTCATTCTTTTTGATTGACAAGTAATATTCCATTATATCTATGTACCACATCTTCTTCTTCTTTTTTTATTTAGCTTTATTTTTTATTTTTTAAAATTTATATCCAAATTAGTTAGTATATAATGAAGCAATGATTTCAGTAGATTCCTTAATGGCCCTTACCCATTTAGCGCATCCCCCTACCACAACCCCTCCAACAACCCTCAGTTTGTTCTCTATATTTATGAGTCTCTTTTGTTTTGTCCCCCTCCCTGTTTTTACATTATTTTTGTTTCCCTTCCCTTATGTCCATCTGTTTTGTCTCTTAAAGTCCTCATATGAGTGAAGTCATATGATTTTTGTCTTTCTCTGACTCACTAATTTCACTTAGCATAATACCTTCCGGTTCCATCCATGTAGTTGCAAATGGCAAGATTTCATTCCTTTTGATTGCTGAGTAATACTCCATTGTATATGTATATCACATCTTCTTTATCCATTCATCCATCGATGGACATTTGGGCTCTATCTATACTTTGGCTATTGTTGATAGTGCTGCTATAAACATGGGGGTGCATGTGTCCCTTCGAAACAGCACACCTGTATCCCGTGGATAAATGCCTAGTAGTGCAATTGCTGGGTCGTAGGGTAGTTCTATTTTTAATTTTTTGAGGAAGCTCCATACTGTTTTTCAGAGTGGCTGCACCAGTTTTCATTCCCACCAGCAGTGCAAAAGGATTCCTCTTTCTCTGCACCCTCGCCAACATCTGCTGTTGCCTGAGTTGTTAATTTTAGTTATTTTGTTTGTTCCCTCCTTTTAAGAAGCATTAGTAGGTAATGCAATTTGCAACTTAAAAGGAGAGGATAAGACTTCTTTGGTTAGAAAGGAAAATGAATCTTTGGTTGAGATGGACACAGTTTTAGGGACATGCTAGTGCATAATCAATGCTTTTAACAATAATAATGATTTGAAGGATCTACAATAAATCAATTTCCAGTTTTAGTTTGACCAAGAATCATCTGGGGTATTGATTCCTAAATCCCACTCTGAGATTGCCATTATGCAAGACAGGCTGGATGGGATTCAGCAATTAATTTCTTTAACAGACTCCCCACGTGAATCTAATATGATATGTCTAAGGAAAACACTTGTAGAAATACTCACCTTTGGGAGTATTAGCTGACATTTTTGTCTTTTTTTTTTTTTTTTTTTTTTTTTTTTTTTTTTTCTTTCTTAGCTGGTTATCTTGCATCTTACCTACCAGGTTTTCTTTATTTTATTTTATTTTATTTTATTTTATTTTATTTTATTTTATTTTATTTATTTTTTGTTATTTTTGCCTTTAGTAACTTTTTTAAGTTAAAAAACCGTGGTAGGAACACAACATGGCATCTACCCTCTTAAGAAATATCTAAGTGTATATATAATTCAGTATTGTTAACTATAGGCACAATGTTCTGCAGCAACATTAGAACTTAATCATTTTACACTACTGAAACTTCCCCATTTTGGAATTTTCCTGAATGTTTTGCTTTTGCAGCTTTGGTATCGCAATTATTTTCTTTTTAATTTTTTTAACGTTTATTTATTTTTGAGAGAGAGGGAGAGACAGAGACAGAGCACGAGCGGGAGTTGGGGCAAAGAGAGAGGGAGACACAAACCGAAGCAGGCTCCAGACTCTGAGCCACCAGCGCAAAGCCCAATGCAGGGCTCGAACCCACGAACCACAAGATCATGACCTGAGCCGAAGTCGGACACTTAACCGACTGAGCCACCCAAGTGTCCCATGGTATTGGAATTCTTTAACCAGGTTCTATTTATTGTATGTAGGACTACTAAAATGCATATATTCTGGTCCAATTAACTTTACCAAATTTATCTTTCTGAAAGATTTTCCTAAGGAGTGTGAATTCAGAATTAATCTGAACTCTTAACAAGATTCACATAACATGAAGCACTGAGAGAAAGTAATACAGACAAAAATTAAGAGTTGATTTTTATCAGGCTGTTTGGTAGAAGGTGCTCCTGAAGCAACACATACTGAACATGCCATGGCAATTGCTTAACTTCAGGTATCATTTGCATTAACTGAAAATGTTTGCACAGCACTGTCATAAGGATTATTGAAGAATATGACACGCTGGGCATGGCCTGACAGGGGGCTCTTGTGTCTTGTGTCTCTGATTCACAGTGCAAGGTTCCCTTTTTAGTTTCCTCATGTGCAGACCTGTGTGTGTGGTCACTAACCATTTACCGGAGGGAAGTGATTACATCTAAAAATAAAATATAACAAATCTGAGGGAGAGGCTAGGGTTTCAACTTTGGAGTCTGTGAAGTTGTCAACAGTCTACTGTTAAACCTAAATATACGAAGGATAAATTGAGTCTTTTAATTGCTTTATTTTAACTCTATAGTATATTTAATGATGCTTGGAATATTGTTCCAGTTGGGATGGAATTCAAGAGTAATATGGAAAGATGCAATACAACTTGAATTTTAAAATCTTGAAGCCATTAAGAATTCAGTTATTTCTTATTCTTTTATCAGTTTTACTATTACATTGAGATTATGAGTTAAGGCATATTTATATACTTTCATATTGTAGATAAATAATTTGAATGTGGCAGTTTCAGCTCAGTTGTCAAAAGAGGATCATATTAAAGAGAAGAGAATTGTATTAAAAACATACATTGTGTAGATCTTAAAATTTGCATTAAATTTTCTTAAAACTTTCCACTGTGATAGAAGTTTATGTGTTATGTTTATGTAATTAAAGGTCCCTCTTTTTCTTCTACTTTCCTAAATCTGGTCTAAGGCCAAGTACTGAGTTATCATCAAAAATAATAAAAACAGAAGAACAGAGTAAGGAAATGCAGCAAAAAAACATCCCCCCAAAACAAAACGAAACAAAAAATAAACCAGACTTGATAAAAGGAGAGATGATAGAATGCCATTTCTTTTACTTATGGTAAAACATCATGTTAAGTGTCTAGATGGAATTGATTATAAACTTAGGCCCTAGACCATACACATACACCTTTTAAAGCTAGTTTACTATCAATTATAAGGAAAAACTGATATTCTGAAATTTGGCTTTTATTAATTGAAACAGACTGCACTCTTAAACTCAAGAGTGGAAAGTGTGCTATCGTATGGAGGGTTTTGTGTTTTTAAGAATTCCTCATGTTCAATGTGGTGCCATGTAACTGACAAATATACTGTGTAACTCCTAAATTT